CCACTGCACTCCAGTCTGGGCGACAGAGTGAGACTCCAACTCAAAAAAAAAGGAAGTAGAAACCAACTCAACCGGGCAGATAAAGAGAAGAAGTTACAGACACAGAAAGCCGAGGATAATCATCCCTGATCAAGGTCATAAAAGCTGACCGAGAGGTCATTGGTAACCCTGGAGTTACTTTTGGGGGGGGATGGACAGAAGTCAGATTTCATAGCACTAAGGACGCAGCACAATGAGAAATTTCAGATCGAATCTTAACATAACTTGCTACTAGAAAACATAAACTAGGTTCTGAAGGCTTTACACTTGGGGATAAGGGGATGTGGAGATAAAACAGCCTGAACTGCAGCCACTGGGTTGACTTCTATTCTGAAGCTACTTTTTGGTGCATTCTACAGAAAGTTTTTTGCCCTTCTTAAAATAAAACTTTTGTCCTAAGAATCATTCATACCTATGTGAACTGAACGAACCAGCTCTGTGATCAGGAAGTACTCAATGTTCTGAACCTTAGAATAGAAAGTGAAAGCAGAAATAAATGCCCCTCCCTTCACATCTGCAACAGCGTGGATTAAGGTAACATACTAATATTTCTCTTGGGTTTGTCTTAAAATCAGTATTTTTTAGAGCTGCTGTGCTGAAGTGTTTTTATAATTGAAGGTGAGGCTCTGAGGTGAGGGGGTGAATCTGCTCTGCTGTACTGAAAAGTATGTACAGTTGAGGCTGGGGCTTGTGCTAAGGCTCTTTCTGCTGAGCTGACTCATTCTCTTTCCGAGATCATGTAGTCTTTCTCAAATGTTCGAGGCAATTCTTGCTCCTCCAATCCCAGGATGTTTTGTTCCCTGCTATGCCATTTAAGGTACAGTGCAGTGCAATGAAAAATCCATGAGACCAAGGATCGAAGAGCTGCATTTTAGTCCTGATTTTGCTCCAAACTTCCTGTGTGAATTTGGGAAAGTCGCTCATTCTCAGTTTCTTTGTCTGAATGCTGGGGATTTGTACTAGGTGGGCTTTAAAATCCTTACTTGTTCCAGCCTAGAAGCCATGGCCTGTGCCTATAATCCCAGCTACCCAGGAAGCTGACCTGGGAGGACCACTTGAGGCCAGGAGCCTGACACCAGCCTGGGAGCTCTTCTCTCTACTTTTATCAGTCAAGTTCACTCTTCTCTGGGAGTATTTGTTACAAGTGGAGGCCGAACTACTCCTTCATTTAGGCCACAGAATGCAAGTCATAAACCTGATAATAATTTAATATCCAACACTCATTACGTGCTTTCTGTGTGCTGGTTGCTGTGCATACCAGCTTCTTCACACGAATTATTTCATTTAATACTAACAACATGAGGAAAGCATAATTATCATACTGTTTTATTTATGTATTTAAGTATTTTTTGAGTCAGAGTCTTACTCTGTTGCCCAGGATGGAGTGCAGTGTCACAATCATGGCTTACTGCAGCCTCAACCTCCTGGCTCAGGCATTCTTTCTGCCTCTGTCACTAGAGTAGCTGGGACTACAGGCATGCACCCTTGCACCCAGCTAATTTTTTGTATTTTGCGTAGAGGCAAGGTCTTACTCTGTTGTCCAGGCTGGTCTCATATTCCTAGTCTCAAGTGATCCTCCCCCTCACCCTCCCAAAATGCTGAGTTTACAGGTGTGAGCCACCACATCCAGCCCCTAAACTGTTCTAAAGATGAAAAAAATGATGCTCCAAACCTCAGAAACTTTGCCCAAGATCACACAGGTAAGTTTGGTGGAGCTAGCTTTGGACTCGGGGCACTCTGATTCCAAATTCTTGGACCTAAAGCATAAGCCACTCTTTTTTTTTTAAATCCTCTGAAATTCAAGCTAATAGACCAATTATGATTTCATTTATCAGAAGTTCTGGAAACAGTGTTTAAAAGGAAGTGTCATTATTTAACATTATTTTATTTTTTGTTTTTTTTAGCAATATCTGTTATCTGTATAATATTGCAAATTAGAAAATTGAGACAATTGTTTGGATAATTAATTCTGCAGAACTTGTTAATGATAATGAAAAAAAGAAGAAAAAGAAAACCACTCATGGGTTTAAGTTGGAGTAGAAAGTAGAGGCAGGTTGGGAGACAGAGTTGAATCACCTAAGTTAACTACACTGTTTGTCCTAATTTTATACATTCTGTAGCTTTACTCTTCTAATAGGAAGAAACAGTCTTAGTGCTTTTTGCGATGGTAGTAAATTAAGTCTGGTTTAATTGTATTTTCAAAAGTGGTGTAAAGGGAAGAGGATCAAAACAATTTAAAAAATATTCTCAGCTTGATATTATACACATAAATTTTATTTCCATGGCTTCTGATATATTGTAAACAGGCTGAAGATAACACCTATCTGGACCAACAACTTTTATACCAGTAGCCATACAATAAAGTCATTCAGATGATCTGCTTATTGAAAGAGGTGAAGTTCAATGCCATTAATAATAGAAATAATAATATCTGGTATTTGTGACTTATTAGGACAAAATAGGGACATCCTGAACAGTTTTCTTTCACATATCTAGGCATACTCCTTTTTTTTGAGTTGGAATCTCACTCCATTGCCCAGGTTGGAGTGCAGTGGCACGCTCACGGCCACCCCAGCGTCAACCTGCTGGGCTCCAGCGATCCTTTCTGCCTCAGCCTTCCAAGTAGCCGGAACTAAAGGGGCACGCTACCACACCTGGCTAATTTTTATTTATTTATTTATTGTAGAGACGAGGTCTCACCAAGTTGCCCAGACTGGTCTCGAAACTGCAGGCTCAGGCATACTCTTGAAATGTTGCAACCGTACAAGGGTGTCTGTAATCTCAGCTACTCAGAAGGCTGAGGCCACAGGATATCTTGAGCCTAGGAGTTCAGGGCCAGTCTGAGTAACATAGTGAGACCCCATCTCTTTAAAAGCAAAAACAAAAACAAATAACTTAAAGATGTAACCAAGTGTTAAAAACATTCAAAATGCAATGAATTTACACACCTTCCCTCTGCTCATTGCATGGAAATGCAAAGGAGATTCATTACCCACATTTTTAAGGTAAGGTCCTTTTGTTTGAACTCTAGAGGATTTTCATCTGTACTGACCAGATGATAGCTTAATTTCGACTTTGTTTTGTGAATAGTTGCCTAATTTTGACAGAGAGCAGGTTTCCCCCACTTGTATTACATCTTTTTGATATTCTAAGGTTTTATTGGTAACCTGAAATCTTTTTCTTCATGCTGTGAATGTTTTTTTATTCTAGATTAAATTCATTTATTGAAAATATTGTTCAGGTCCTGTGTGACATAATTGGTGCCAATGCAGTTATGAAGAACTGTGAGATTAGCCTGGATATGTACCTGTCTTCTAGAGGATAGACTTCATGTTCCATTCTTCTGCAATGGTTAATTCACACAGAAAACCAATGTTTAATATTCACATAGGATTGTACTGCTTAGCAGTCATCTTGCCCAGAATATGTATTTGTTCTCAGTTCTCAAAACCATCAAGTTATCAGTTCAGTAAGAATTCTGGGGGTTTCCCAGTAGCCACCAATGGGGAACCATTTCCTTGGCAGGAGCTAAGGCTCCCCAACATGGTCATTCCCCTCCACTACGACCTCTTTGTCCACCCAAATCTCACCTCTCTGGACTTTGTTGCATCTGAGAAGATTGAGGTCTTGGTCAGAGATGCCACCCAATTTGTCGTCTTGCACAGCAAAGATCTTGAAATCATGAATGCCACCCTCCAGTCAGAGGAAGATTCGAGATACATGAAACCAGGAAAAAAGCTGAATGTTTTGAGTTATCCTGCTCATCAACAAATTGCACTGCTGGTTCCAGAGAAACTCATGTCTGATCTGAAATACTATGTGACTATTGACTTCCAGGCCAAGTTAGCAGATGGCTTTGAAGGGTTTTACAAAAGTACATACAGAACTCTGGGTGGTGAAACAAGGTAAGTCCATGGTCAGGCTATTTACAGTCTCTTGTGATATTTTCCTTATGGGTTACATCTCTTTGCCAGGAGCATGCTTCAGCAATCAATTATGATAATCCAATAAACTGTGGGAAGCTCAATGAAAGAAAAGGTCTACCATTCCTTAAGGAAACCACAATAGAGATGGGAAGACAGGATACAGAGGTATAAACAGCTGGAGAGAGACAACTAGGAGTAGAGGCCAGTATATGACTGTGATAAGACAGACATGCTTATATGCTAGGGAAAATGATGGACAGCACAGAGAAGGCTGAAATAGGGAAGGCTTCTCAAAAGAGGTGAATTTTGATCTGGAATCAAAAGGAAATGTAAGTGAGACTGGGATTGGAAGAGAGAAAGTGAGAGAGTGTATAGTGCCCAGCAGATGGCACATCTCAAATCTAAGAGATAGGAACAAGGAACAAATCTATTTGAAGAACTGGTAAATATGGACTATTTGGTCAACTCACATTCACTGAGCACGTGCTGTGTGCCAGGCACTGTGCTTAGCACTGCATATATCATGGTGTGATATGATGGAGAGATAACCAGGACAAGAAAATGAATGAAATGGGTGAAGCAAGTGATAAGTTTTACAAAGGAAATAAAACAAGGTGCTATGATTACAAGAGAGTGTAGCTAGGATTGAGGCTAATTTAGATAAGTGGGCAGGGAAGTATTTGCTGAGGAAATGCACTTAAACTGAGACTTGAATTTTTTTCTCTATAAGACACCATTATCAGGACATCTTAGGGCAAGTGCAAATGCTCTAAGATGGGACTGATTGAGAAAAGAAGGCCAGTGTGGGCTGAGAAGACTGAACCAAAGGAAGAAAGATAAGATCATGTAGAGCCTTGTAGCCTCTTGTAAGGAGTTTACACTTTTTCTTGGGTGCAATGAGAGGTCATTAGAAAGTTCTGATCTAATGTGTGCTTTATAAAGATAATGTCTATGACAAGGGAATGTTATAGAGAAAAAAAGTAGAAGCAGTATAATCATGTGGAAGGGCATTACAGTAGTTCAGGTAAGAAGTCACGATGATTTGGGCAAGGCTAGTGGCAGTGCTTAAAGAGTGAAGTGATTAAAGTTGGCAGTTATTTTGGAGGGTATAACAGCAGAGATTGCTGCCATATTGGTTATATGAGGAGACAGAAAGAGAAGAATCAAAGATGCCTCATAGAGTGAATGATTGGTTTCCAGGGCCAGGATACATCTGGGAGGTAAGAGATGTCTGGCTATCCCATCTTTTACCAGTTGCATTTTTAAAAGAAAAAATCTTAGACAAATCAAATATAACAGAGTTTAATTGTGCAAAGAACGATTTCCAAACTGGGCAGCCCCAACCAGAACAGGCTCAGAGAGACCCTGGTCCTGCTCTGAGACTGAAGATTTATGGATAGAAAAAGGAAAGTAATGTACGAAAAACAAAAGTGAGGTACAGAAATGGCTGGCTTGGTTACCACTTGGCATTTGCCTTATTTGAACACAGTTTGAATAGTTAGTCGTCTTTTGATTGGTTGAAACTCAGCGACTGGCACAAGAATAGGTTCTAGTCTGTTGACACATTCAGTTAGGTTACAGTTTACTATATGCTGAGAAGCCTTTAGGCTGAACTTAAAATATGTATGGAGGTAGTTTTAGACTAAGCATAACATGTTCAGTTGTCTGCTAGAGAAACCCAGATTTGGTGGGTTAGCCACACAGGGGTGTATTTTCATAATTCAACAGGAAGTCTAGAAGTAGGACAACTCAGGTTTGCTATAGAGCTCTTCATTGTCACCCAGGACCCAGGCTCTTTCTGTCCTTCTGCTAATGGCTTTCTTCCTAATGCTCCAAGATGATTGCTGCACCTCTGGGCATCAAGTCCACATTCCAGGCAGGAAGAATGGGGGGCAGAGAGGAGAGAAAAAGACCAAAATAAACCTTCCAGCTGAGTCTGACCCTCTTTACAAAGTTTTCCCACCAATGACTTCAACTAGGCCAGAATGAGTTACATGTCCCACCAGTCAGTCACAAGGAAGACCGAAGAAGTAGCTCCTTTATTTGGTCTCATTGCCCTCCTGAAAATCAGAATCCCATTGGAACTGCAGAAGGGGAATGGATATCGGATAGGCAACTAGCAGTGTCTACTACATACTGCTCTTCCCTTCCTCAAGTCTGATGTTCCCCTGCCCGCTGGGCCTCAGTGCTGGTCCTCAGGTGTCCATTCCACAACCCTCAGCCATCCACTCAGCACAACTTTTCCCCCGGCCCATCTCTCTCCTCCGCCTCTTGATGACACTTTCCCAAATTGCAGCCTCAATCCTCAGGGGCCTGTTCTCAGGACCAACACAGCATTGGATAGAGGAAGTATCAGCTCCTTCTCAATAAAGCACTACATGAGCAGTGAGGGCTCCCAACCCCATTTTTTCAAGTGACAAAGGCCCTATCCAAAGCACATATATTTTAGGGATACTATTTTGGGATCTATGAGAGATTAGCGGGGGAGATATTTGGAGTAAGACCTGGAGGACTTTTCACCATGTCTCTCATGATTAATTGCAGGCTATTTCTGACCCTTTATATGCTTAATTTGCCAGTTCTCTTCATACTCAGTCACCTAGTAGGTCTGACATACAGGGTCATGTGCTGCACAATGTGAATTGAATTTTATGGATCTCTCTTTCTTTGTCTCCCTTTCTCTCTCTCTCTGTCACTTTCTCACTCATCCTTTATTTAAAATATGCAAATATTTCAGTTGACAATAGTGCTTTTGAAGAACAGAAAATGACTACTTCCCATGTGAAGTTAAAATTAATCATGTAAATAGCAAAGAAAAGTCTCAGTTTTTTATTTCTATGTCAATATAGACTTATTACAACCCAAATTCCACAGTGGTGAAAATTACTCCAGGGACTTGAAATTCCTTTATATTTGCAGTACCTGCTACCAAATCCAAAGAAAACCCCGAGGCTACAAGTGACACCGAAATTCCTAGTCTCATTTTTCCAGTATTTGTCATAAAAATAAAGTAAGCTGTGGTAAAATATCCTGACAGCTCCTCTTTTTTGCTTTCCTGGTCTCCTCTCATTTGAGCTAGTCTTTTCTCCTCCTCCAATCAAAATCTGCCACCCAGATTCACTTATTAATTGAAGCTTAAAGTCTAAAGAAAGTTAGTGCGGTACCCTAGAAGGTGTAGTTTCCATCCCAGAGCTCCCTGAAGCTGGCATTTTTCCTGATACTGCACCCTTGCCTGGCTTGTCCCTCTTCCCTGTCCTCATTCCCTCACTTTCTTACCTGTTTCTTCTGGCGGCATGTTCTTAATAAATGAAGATCCACTTCCTGGGAACACATCCTAGGACATCACTCATATATGCTGTTATTCAAATGTCTGATTGAAGCCTCCAGGTTTAGAGACGGTACTGAACTATTCATTTCCTAGTCAAATTTGAAGTCAAGTTAATGGCCTGCATCCTATCTCAGCTGTTGACTAACTAAGGATCCTGGTAAGATCACTCATGTTCTCCGAACTTCAATATCCTTGTCTGACATGAATGTGAAGAAAATAATGTAAGTAGAGTTCCCAGCACAAGGCATTGCTCATGACTGGCAGCTACTGAATAAGATTTTACCCTCATTTTCTTCAAAGTGAAAGTTGAGATTCATGAAAATCACTGTTTGAAAAATCAAATGTATCACCGCCAGTTTTGATAAGCTGTTTGCTATAGATTCAAGTTCATTTCTCTTCTTGGTTTCACCTGTGTGTTCTGACCGGGAATGGGTCTCTTCCACAGAATAATTGCTGTAACGGATTTTGAACCAACCCAGGCACGTGTGGCTTTCCCTTGCTTTGATGAGCCATTGTTCAAAGCCAACTTTTCAATCAAGATTAGGAGAGAGAGCAGGCACATCGCACTATCCAACATGCCAAAGGTATTTCCACTTTCAGAAACTTTGAAAAATCATTTTCAAGTTGAGCCTTAGTTTTTATTTTTGTTTAAGGAAATATTTCCTTTGCTTTCAGAATTTGTCATTAGTTTTTATCCAGCTAGAGATTATGTAATTACCTCAATCCTTCTAGACTATTATATCATTTTATTACACAAGGAGCTTTCTTTTTTTCAAGCAAAATGATTTATATTTTATTTGTGTTCATATGGAAACAGTGTTCTTTTAAACCAGTGTTATGTCAACAGGGATGAAATTCAGAATCACCTAAAGGAATACTTCTCAAACTTCAGCGTTCAGACATATTGTCTAAGGATCTTGTTAAAATTTAGATTCTGATCAGTAGGTCTTAGGGCAAAGCTCGAAATTCTGCCTTTCTAACAAGTTCCCAAGTGATGCCCCTGCTGTTTGTCCAAGGACAACATTTGCAGTGGCAAGGGTCTAATGCATTCTGCCTGGCCATACCACAGGAAATTCAGGTCTAGGAGTCAGTGATGGAACTTAGAAATCCCCCTCCCCCCCTCTGTATTTAAATTCCACAGGTAGTTCTTAAAATTATTTATGAAAGTTATGTATTGCGGTTATACAGGTTTTTTTGTTATAATTTTTAATTCAAAGAGACCTTTGGACACTCTGATTTGGCTCATATTAGCCCCCAAAATGCAGAGACTCTGAAAGACACAGTAGGCCCTTTGCCTCATCTGATATATCCTCACTAATGATGTGCTTGCCATTTGTGTGGTTGAATAAAATGTAAAATATTTCCTCATTGCTGCTTGGAAAGTAGGACAAAAATAGCGGCTCTCCTGACAGTGCTTCAGAAAGGTGAGTGGCACAGGAAGCAGCAGGTCACCTGTAGCCAGCAAGTGGCCCTCCCTACATTTTCCTCTCTGCCCTGCACAGGGCTAGCCTCGCAGATGCAGGGAAGATGTGAGTCTAAAATCTAGACACTGCATTTCCCAAGATTCCTGTTTAATGCTGGAAAAAGATATTTGCTCTGAAATATAGGCAGAGCAGAACAAGGGAAAAAGTGACAACCCTCCCTGAGATCCATTGCTCACAGTTCTTCCATGATTGTAACAGCTGGCCATTTAACTAGCCCTTTTATTTTCAAGTAACAATGATCTGCTACCTTAACTCCAGGTCTTCCTTCCAACAGCATGTTCATTTCAGGGCATTTTACCATTATTGCTCTTTTGCTTATAGTTTTTTATTAATATAATCTTTTATCTCAATAATCATGGAGGGTAAAGTAAAAATACAGTTTGTAAGGCCTTTTCATTAAAATTTGATACAAACGTAAATTTACTATTTACTATTATTGTTATTATACAGGAATTTAGAATTCATGTTTTTGGAAACCTCCAGTAGTTTCCCATATTTAAGTAAAAATAAGCAAACACTCTGAAAAGATTTCCTGCAATCCTTGATTCTCCGCATTGCCCAGGTGACTAGAGCAGCTCTTTGAATTATACCCCTCTTAGCAAATACTGGTTTAACTTTCTTAATGTGATCAACCCAGGCTTTCATGGATAGCCAAAAAAGGATTGAAGTAATGCTACAATCACACTCTCTGAATAATTGTTTCAGCACCTAAGATGGATAACTTACGGATTGGTGGAAAGAAGAAACACACACTAAGTGCTCAATTTCCTCAGTTAAGAAGACAGAATTGAAGGGAAGGGAACACTAGTAGAGGTGGCATAACTTCAGGACATTTCTTTGTCTCCTTCATTCTTTAAGGGAGCACAGAGAAAACAGATAAATCCTTGTCCAGCATTGAGTGTTTTGTACTTGGAATTTACACCACCATCCTGGAAGAACTTGTGCTAATACTCCACACACTTCCATTTAAGGCAATGTTAATCTACCCAACCCTCTCTGCCACCAGCTCTCTAGCAACCCAGACTCTCATTTCCCCATAGTCCCACAGCCTTTCCCCTCCTCCTCACACCCCTCCACACACTTGACTCAATGGTTTTGCTGCAGAGTTTGGCCAGAAAACCAGTCATACTCTGCCTCTCTGGCCCCACCCTAAGACAGCTTCTCCTCTGCTGGAAGTATAGCCATAGAACTCAGGTTGAATCCATTTCCTAGAAAAAGAGATTGCTGGGCAAAATTAATTTGCTGACTAGACTTAAAAATTACAGCTCTCTATATACTTCTACCCTTCTTAGAATTTTTGGTCGATGCCTTCTTTTTTATTGGAACTTAGAAATACATTTTAAATAGAATCCAGTGGAATTAGGTTCTATAGAGTTTCAAAGCACAAACATTTGCCATTTAAGTGAGTCAGGCAGTTTATAGTCATGCTTCAAGCTATTTTCTTTCACTAAAGCAAAGTAGAATCTCACCCAACACATCAAACACGCTTAATAAGCCATGGTTAACGTCATTATGAGCCTGACACTCTAAAACTGGACAGGAATGGGGGTCAGGAAGTGCTAGTTTGAGAACTGTGACCAGTTTGAAGAAAGTGGTATTTTCAAATTATTGGAACTATATCCATTCAGTATTTTGGGACATTGTACCATGGTGGAGACCCTTTCTAAGGCAAGTTGCCCAGACCAAATGAAGACAGAATTCATAATTACCCAGTGAACTTGATGGATGCAGCTGATCAGACTGTAGGCTGAAAAGTTTCTGCTTCCTCAGGAGATGGGCAGAAGCTTAAATTACTAATGACCTTCTTGGCCTAACTGCTTTCATTGCTGAATCAATGAAGCAAAGATAAAATAAGGTTATGACTCAAGTTGTCACAAAGCTGGTGAAAGGGTGAGCAACGTCTTTGGAGTCACATGGTCATATCCATAGCTTAGTCCTGCAGTTGATCTAGTCGTATGATCTCTGGCAATCTAGTTGACATGCATGAGCCTGTTTCCTTCCTGAGAAATAACACCTATTTCATACTTGCATAATGAGAGTATTAAAAGATAAAGTGAAGCATTTAGCACAGTTTTGTTTCCCATTTTCTTCTACCTCAGAGGTTTATTTATTGTACGACAAACAAAGGGAAAGGGGTCATTCTCTGGTATTTTTACTTAGAACCTCAAAACTTGAATTGATGCCAATGTTGGAGATTATTGCATTTTCAGAAAATAGAAGCACCTAAGATGTTTCTGTGCTTTCAAGCAATGAAATAAAATTTGGCATTTTTATGCTTTTGGGATCTCAAAAGTGGTGCATTGTGTCTTCAAGAGAGTACAGGGATAAAAGCAATAAAGCTAAGAGAGGTCACAGAGTATTATGAGAGGCCATTGACTTCCTAGAAGGTCATCAAGCACCCTTCAGCTTGTCACACTTACCTCTAACTCACTTGCTGTAGTTATAGGTATGCTTGAGAAATACTCCAGTCTTCAGATACTGATTCCTTTCCCTTACTGTAGGTTAAGACTATTGAACTTGAAGGAGGCCTCTTGGAAGATCACTTTGAAACTACTGTCAAAATGAGTACATACCTTGTAGCCTACATAGTTTGTGATTTCACCCCTGTGAGTGGCACAACCTCATCAGGGGTCAAGGTGAGACTGAGTTCTAATTTTTTATATAATCTAGGAAACAATGAGTTTTCCTTTATTTTCTTAAGTTTTTTCCTTGTTATCAGAATATTATGCTCATTTTACAAAAAAAGGTAAAAAATGAAATGAAATTAAAAATTATCCATAATCCCATCACCAACCTATAACTACTGATAATATTAGAGTAAGTCTTCAAAATATTTTCTATACGTATATCAGTATATGTGGGTGTACATAGTAACAGCATATGAAATATATTTTTCACAGTATATTATTTATATACTCAAGAGCTAGAGTATATTGTTTTAACCCAATTTTCATCATCATATACTATAAAATTTGAATGCCATTAAGTCATTTTTATAATATTATATTAGTAATTTCATGGAAGCTCCATAAGGATTTTTTAATCAGTATCTTATTTTAGGACACATGTTTTCTATAACTTTTTTCCTCAATGAAAGATGGTCTTTATAATATTTAGAGTCTTTGTTGTTTACAAAAACTTACAATACCCAATGATTATCTTGTAGTTAAGTTTTTAAAAATATCAGCGGAGACACTAAAGAAATAAAAAACAACTCCTTTCCCTGAGGAACCAAGTGATAGATGTTAAAAAGTCTTCAAAGAACCCTAAAAGAATGCTTATGAACAATGGTGTAAACTGACTATTACAACTTACATACATATCATACTTATGGATATGTAGATATATATTGTGAGTTGTGAAAGTACATATCATGGCATCTCTGCACATAGATATGTGTATGCATAGACATAGATGTGTGGGAGGAGGATGACCCTTATCTTCAGGGAACAGGCTCCTATCAGCCTCCTTGGATTCATATCCCAGCTCTACAACTTTCTACCTGGGTGATTTGGTCCAAGTTACTTGACCTCCGTGTGTTTTTGTTGCTTTATCTATAAAATGAAGATAAAAGCATCAACTTGATAATGTAGGTGTGAGTATTAAATTAGATTTTACATGTAACCTTTAGCACAGTGCCAGGTAATTTGTTTTAAGTGGCTACTTACATATTTTCTGCATAAATGTTCTAAGGGTCTTCAGTCAATTCACAGCATAAAAATGGATCATGAAATGGAAGCAGCCCTCTACTTGAAAGCCAAGAAAATGAGAATCTAATACTGTTTTTTCTACTTGGTAGCTAATTGCTTTATGGGAGTTGTTGAACATATATTTGAACATTTTCAAGTTTAAAGCAAACTTGACAGAGGGTGGATTCAGTAAGTTCTTCAGGACTTTCCCACATTGGTCTAGGAACAAACGCTTTATTTGAATTGCGTTTGTGGTCATCATTTTGGAAAGCTAATTCTCAAGAGCTAGAGTACATCTATCAAAGGGATGAACTCAAGTGGGCCCTCGTGATATGGTGGGTTAATATAGCTTGAAAGTTTCATATGCAATCTAGGGAATGGATTGTAACAGAGAAGCAGGGATGTTTATAACTTTTAAGACTGAGTTTTACTTTAATATTTTACAGAAGCTCTTATCCTTATTGACAACATGCTTAATGGTATCTTGATACTTTCTTATTTGTGTGTGAGGGTTATCAGACATGGAATTAGGCCAAGGAGCTGTCATTAAAAGACCACTTCTTCTGATCCACATTTCCCAGGTGTCCGTCTATGCATCCCCAGACAAATGGAGTCAAACACATTATGCTCTGGAGGCATCACTGAAATTGCTTGATTTTTATGAGAAGTACTTTGATATCAACTATCCACTCCCCAAACTGGGTATGTTCAAACTCTACATCATTATCTTTCTTTTTGCTCATAGATATTGCTTTGATTTTTTTCTCTCATGCTTCTTTTCTATGAGCGGGATACACATTTCCCATCATGTTCCTCTCTATATGCAGGAAGCACACTTCCTACTGTGCTCCTCTTCTGTGGGAGGGAAACACTTCCCATCATGCTCCTCTTCTATGTCGGGAAATATACTTCCCACCTTGCTCCTCTTCAGTGAGAGGGAAACACTTCCCATCATGATTCTCTTCTATGAGCAGTAAACACACTTCCTACCTGCTCCTCTTCTATGCTCCAACAGCATTGATTTGGTTATGGGTTTTCATATATGTATACATATATGTGTGTGTGCATGTGTATATATATATATATATATATATATATTAGACATAAATAAATTTTCTGAAGCAATCTGTATGCCATATTTGTACAAGACCAGCAATCTTTTATGAAAGTTGCCAAAAGTTTGTGTAAACAGAGAATCGAAAACCATCCCTAAATCTGTTATCTATGTTGGTCATTGAGGTTAAAAGAAGACTATGACATAGATTTAAAAATAAAGATTTAGAAGGAACATTTCGATGTGGTCTTTACATGAAATGATACTCATAGTTTATCTCGGTTTTAATATTCTATCTTAAAAAATAAAAGATGTGTCCTAAATTTTATCCCACATCTTTAAGTAAAATAAAATTTGAAAGATGTGACTTTTAGAATGTTGCAGAGCATATAAAAACCGTGACTAAAGTTTCATAGTTTCTATAGATTAGTACTTAAAGTTCCTGATAGTGACAAAACATTTTTCCCCCCTTTGGGATATTAGAATATATTCCTTACTATGTTTTTCCTCCTCTCTCACCCAAACTCCCATGTACTTTCCTTAGAGAAGTTAAAAGGGACCATCAACTGGCATGCAGTTTTAGGCAAAAAAAAAAAAAAAAGAAAAGAAAAGAGGGAGACACCATTAAAAGATATATCCAGGGACTTATTTCTATAGTTTCTGAATCTCACTGTATTATTGTAGTGCATGTTCTATATACTCTTTTGTATGGATATACTACCCATAATTCATTGCTGTTCTCTGGGTCAAAAGTCAAGAAAAGATCTATAACAGCCATCAACAATCTTATGTTGTTCCTAAGAAATACAACCTTGAAGATCATATGAAACATTTTAAAAAAACTAACTGAAAAGAAGCATGCAGTGTAAGAAAAATAGAGTACATATAAACATGTCTAATGGCTATGGGAAAATAATTCAACGAATATAAAGTCATCAATGCAATTTAGAAAAAAATTTCCACATTTGAAGTGCTAATGAATACTAGTTTTATAAGTGCTAATTTAGTTTTTGATTGTGTTACAAATACTTGTTTTTATCCATTGAAATTAACCAGTATTAATTAACTCCAGACAATGTAATTACAAGCCAAATGACTTGGTTCATTTCAAACTTTAAAAAAAAATTATCTTCCAGAATGGACTAGCAGAATTCCAAGAGTAAATATTAGCCAGAAATTTTCTAACCTACGGGAATTTATTGGCAAAGGATGTACATGCAGATGTATATAAACACATAAATATAAATTAATGCATTCTGCCTGGGCTGCTTAAAGATGATTAGATTGCACTTTTTTCTAAGTCTTCCTTAAGAGGTAGAGGAAATATCAATGTTGAAAAGGAAATTGAGGTCAAAAAGAATCAATGCCCAGAGCTTTTTACCTCTACTGCCTTTCAGGGACACTTGCTCATAATAAAAGCCATATGTGCTTGAAATATGAATTAAAATATTGACTATAGGGATTGCTCCTAAAAGTTGTTCTCCCAAAACTGAAATCTTGTTTTTCTTTTTTTCCCTAGAAATTAGTTTGCTATGTGTTTTGATGAACCTCAAACATATTAGAAATTATTTGATAACTTTTATTTCTGAAGTTTTTCATTAGTACTAATATAAAATACAACATGATTGCTTTTAAAGAAGTTATTTTCTTGGTAGTAATGCACCCAAAATATGTTCAGAGTTCAACATTTTCAGATTAAATGTCAGTAGGTTACTTCAGCTGCAAAATTCAATTGGTAGAATTTATACCACTTGATAATGGGGACTGATTATTTTCTGTGTAACTATAAGATAGGTCAATGTTAAGACATTCTTGATATTTTCAGAAAGTCTGTCTACATAAACTGAAAGGATCATAACATATTCCGTAATGATCAAGTATGGTTGTTCTTATTTCTTAGACCTAATTGCTATTCCTGACTTTGGGCCTGGAGCCATGGAGAATTGGGGCCTCATTACATATAGAGAGACGTCACTGCTTTTTGATCCCAAGGCCTCTTCTGCTTCCGATAAACTATGGGTCACCAGAGTCATAGCCCATGAACTAGCACATCAGGTACTTGGCACTCATGATGTTATCTTGGTATTGGTCCAAAAGAGCATTATGTAGAACACCACCAATCTTCCTAAGACAGCATAAATTATATCATTTCCTTTTTAGAGGAGAACTTAGAGATTACCAAACCCAGCACAGTATGTCCAGTAGCAGAGCACTCAGTCTCTAGACTACGGAACTCATACTGGAATTTTACCACAAAAGAAGCAGTCTCTAAGTTTATCCTCTAAAACCCTTTGAAGCAAAACCTTCAAATGTTCTTTGGGAAGAGAAAGGTGATAACTATGGAGACACATAGAACTGAAAACCCTACAATTACATATTTGCACTAAAAAAATTTCTCCTTATACCCCCTAGTACTCTGGTACTTCAATCTAGGGCAAAATCGATGTTTCTTCAGTTGGAGCCTGTGATTATATAGACATATGAAAAATTTCAAGTCAAGTACTCATGGAATGCTGACCCTGGGCATGCTACCCAACTCTCTGAAGTTCAGTGTCTCCATTTATAAGTAAAGTTAATAGTAGCTCCTGCTTCATAAAACTGTTGTGAAGATTACAGATAAAGATGGTATCTGTGCCTGTCTTGATAGGTGTTGGATATTAATAATGACAATAATGAAAAGTACTTACATGACTAGTATTTCTTGCAGAATAAGATATTCAAGGGCCATCTATCAACATTATATTACATACAAATATAGAACTGTAAAACTAGGTCTATAGATATCAGAGACTATTTTCACTCTATTTCCTTTCTGAAAACTCTCAGTAATTTAGTGAATTATTAAAGGCATGAAAATTCTCTTTCACCGTGTGGGCAAATATCATTCCATTGTAGAAGCTGGTAAAATCTGTTGTTTAAAAATTTTAACTTTTATCATAACCATAATAATAAGGTTTTTATTTTGTTTTGTTTTTTAAGCCATAAACTCAGTACCAAGTTGCACAGAGAGCCATTCTCAGCACTGCATTTTGAGAATATACAGGCTGTCTGGTTCAGAATCTCCCCACTGGCCTATTTTAGGTGTTTTGATCATTAGTCACCAGGAGCTCTAAAGCACTTAACTGAGTCTAGGGATTTCTAATCTTTCTGCCCAATGTTTGTAGGGAAATGGTCTGAGAGCTCTACCTCTGAGGCTCCATGCTCCCTTTGGGCCTTCCTATAATAGTTTCTGTTCCATGAAGATGTAAAGTCTTGGGCAGAAGCAGCAGACAGCACTGGAATTTCTGCCTTGACTATTTTGTCTCCCCATATAACCCTGTCACTCTGTGTATAACCCTGGCAAGTACTCCTCAGTGCCAACTGGCTGAGTCAAGAGTCCTTAGTGTGGCATACAAGGTCCCCATGACTAAGCCTCTCTTTACTTTTCTCCAGTCTTGTCTCTTACCTATACCCTAAGCTTTGGTCATCCAAGACCACCTACCAATTTCCAAACATACCAGGTCATGTCACCCCTCTGTGCCTTTGCTCCTGCTACCTGATACTTCATATACCTGAGGATCCTTTACAAGGCTCAGAAGACGAGTCACTTCCTAACTGTCCTACATACTCTCCTAGCAAAACCGATTATTTCCTCCTAGAATCTCTTCTGCTTCTGACAGAGACATTGAAAGAACCTACAATGCTTGATGTATTTATTGTTTGCTGGTTGACTACCACCATTTGTACTGAGACAGTGGCTATATGACACATACCTTTGTATTTCTAACTAATGGCATGGTTCCAGAAACACAGTAGGTTCTCAGTAGTTATTTACAGAATGAATGAATGAACTATTCTTACTAACTGTTGAAGTAACCAGAATCAGTTAACTGTACTTCTCATATTTACCAATCCTCAAATTAATAAAACACTTCCTCTCCCTTCCCATGGATACCCTTAGAAAGATCGGTGCCCACTTGCAAAATAATTTGAGGGTTGTCAGAAAAAGAATAGAGCCTAAAATGTTTCTAGATGCTACAGTCCTAGAATTGTCTGTTCTATAACTATAACAAGGCTTGTCTGAATGTCAAAATCTTGGTTTAAACTTTTGGTCTTTCTGGAATTTGCAATCTTAACATACATATACTAGATGCACATATAGGCTAACTAAGGAAATAAAACATAAAAGTGTATGAAAGAATAATAATATCTAAAATGTGTGATCAAATATAGGTCAAGGGTAAATATTTAGATTATTCCTATGTATTCTTTTTATTTTTGTGTGTATATATATTTTAATCTTAGAACTTTATTCTTTCTAGTAGCCAAGTTAATTCCCAGGAGTAAGTCAGGGGCTGGGGATAACAACTAAATTTGTTCATAACTATTATTATGTAAGAATCTTAGAGTCCTAAATGAATTATTTTGTGTCTTCTCAGTACCTGCTACTTAATATAAGAAGGTGACTTCAACAAGAATATTTTGTTTTATATTTCTCCTTACTCTGTCATCGTATCTCCTAGACAAAGTGTTATTTTTCTCATTATGCAAGAAAGAAAAACTACCCTCCACAAAGTGTTTCATTTTCTTCCTTAATATTAAATCTAATGGCTAGAAAGTGTTGGGCAGGTAGAATGATAGTTGGAGAGTCAGAGGCATTAAGGGCACAGAAGAAAGAAATGGAAAGCAAGCAAAAATGCGGTGGTGGGAATGAGAAGGCAAGGAAATCAGTAGAAGGAAAATCAGACAGAAAGGGGCAGCAAAGATTAAGGAGATACCTTAACTCTTAGTAATTTCTCAAAAAAGAAGTTTTTTACTACAGCTAATTGTTTTTATTTATTTGTTAAACTTCTAACGACATTCAGTTTTTACCTCCTAGTGGTTTGGCAACCTGGTTACGATGGAATGGTGGAACGATATTTGGCTCAATGAGGGTTTTGCAAATTACATGGAACTTATCTCTGTGAATGCTACGTATCCAGAGCTGCAATTTGTAAGTTCTTGATTCTGTGTGTCATACCATATGCCCTTAAGAATCATCAATTTACTATTAAAATTTGGAGTGAAGTTTAAAGAGAAAACTCCATAAAGTTGTGTGTTTTGAACATACGGTGTTTTGTTTGATATATAAAACTGATCACAGAACTGGATAAAATATTGGTGGTTTTAGAAAACAATCAGCATAAATCTCTCACCCAAAAGTTTGTGGACAGAAAGGGCAAACTAGCACAAAAATCCAGCTGTGTATCTGGGGTGAGAGAAAAGAACATTACTGTCCATGTACATTCACAAGGCAGTGACCTTGGCTACTAGGTTCTGTGCAGAGTTCTTGGTATGTAACCTGAATTGAACATAATTGGGGGCACACTCCTCTAGCATTTCCAAAAGGCCTGTTGGCTTCCTCAAAATGTGTGAAAGGATGTCTTCAAGCACATCTTTTTTTGGATGGATATAGTGGTCTGAACACTTCCCAAATCCACATATAGAGGTAGTTAGTAATGTTAATTAGGTCTTTTAGATATCCATTTAGCCCAGTATAATACAGATGCAAGCAGACATAGATTCAAAATCAGGGTCTTGTTATTGTCTGTATGCCAGTTTAAACCACTTAAACCAACTGGTTTAGTGCCAAACCCTCATATGTTCTCATTTATAAAAGATATACACTGCATCTCCCTTTCAGAGGTATTGAAAGGATTTCAGATGATGAATCCTAGCACACAGTAAGTATTCACTAAATGGAAATCATTATTTTTTATTTCTGGACTCAAGGACTTGGTACAAAGTAAGCATTCAGACAATGTATGGAGGAGTGTTAGGTTCATATCTTTCTAAAACAGAAAAATGGTGAAAAGGGAATATATAAAGGGAAAAAACATCTTGCAAGAATTCTTACCTCTAAGAACATCTTACTAAACCTAACATGTTTTCTGTTGCTTTTAGAGTGTCAAATAGAAACTAAAACTATTTTTTTCTCCCATCTAGGATGATGATTTTTTGAATGTGTGTTTTGAAGTAATTACAAGAGATTCGTTGAATTCATCTCGCCCTATCTCTAAGCCAGCAGAAACTCCTACTCAAATACAGGAAATGTTTGATGCGGTTTCCTACAACAAGGTCATAAATATTATGTGCAGGGGGAAGCTCTGTTTTCAGGAGAAATATAATGACTATAAATCAGCAATTTAGAGCCGGGCTCGGTGGCTCAGCCTGTAATCCCATGCCTTGGGAGGCTGAGGTGAGTGGATTGCCTGAGCCTGCGGGTTCGAGACCCGCCTGGGCAACTTGGCGAGACCTCATCTCTACAATACATTAAAAAAAAAAAAATTAGCCGGGTGTGGTAGCGCGGGCCTGCAGTTCCAGCTACTTGGAAGGCTGAGGCAGAAGGATCGCCGGAGCCCAGCAGGTCAAGGCTGCGGTGGCTGGGAGTGGCCACTGCACTCCAGTCTGAGTGATGGAGTGAGACTCCAACTCAAAAAAAAAAACAAAAAACAAACACCAAAATCAGCAATTTTATGCCATTGGTGCCAGTTGCTGTTACCTGCTTCATTTTTTATTTGCTATTCATTGTTCAGACATCACAGATTCTATAAAATGTAAGCTTTCTTTAAAAACATATCATACCAACTCCACTTTTGCTTTATCTCTCTCTGTCTTTTTAGGGAGCTTGTATTTTGAATATGCTCAAGGATTTTCTGAGTGAGGAGAAATTCCAGAGAGGTCTAATTAGCTACTTAAAGAAGTTCAGCTATAGAAATGCGAAGAATGATGATCTGTGGGGCAGTCTGTCAAGTGTAAGTCATGTGTTGGTAACAGTAGATTGTTGTGAGGTCTAAAAAGTGACAGGATAATTATGAAGGTTTATAAATAGTTATATCGTCAGGCAACACTATTTATTCTGCTTGCTAGGCTGTCAGGGTCCAGAGATGGCAGTGTCTTCTTTTGCTCCTGACATCACTAGACTAGGACGTCACACTAGGAGGGCCACGGGGTCTCATTACTTGACTTTCCTTTCTTTGGTTTCCCTTCTATGGCTAATCCTACACGTTTATCTCCTCTTATTCCAAAATCTTTAATAACTATAATTTCTACCATATCGTCTAATCTTCTCTGCCATATTTTGAGACTGATCTCTTCCCTGCTCAACGTTTTTCCCCAGAACTGGGTGAAGCATTTTCTCCCTCTTAAGGAGGAATCTTGCTCAATTTCTGTATTATTGCACTTTTATTTCTAGTACCCTCGCTACCCTTCCACTTTCCAAGAATTTCCAATGCTATCCATCTTTCAAGACCCAACTGAGATTTCACTTCCTTCTTACAGATTGCTCCAGCTCTCATTGGTTTGTGTCTCTGCTAAATGCTTAGAAGTGCACTAATGATGTGTTCCATACAGTAATACTCTCTTTTATTGTTTTTATTAGTTCAATAATAATAATTTGCTTAAGAAAAAAAATCATATCTATAGCATCTAGCATACTGTTGATTCTACACTAGTGATTAATATTAATGATTGATTAAAGAACTTATGATCTCTTTGTCTTTGGGATTCATGCAGATAATAGGAAAGACAAAGCAAAAAGCATTCAATCAACACAGATGATAATAATTTTTAAAATAATTTAATATTTTCAACTGCAAAGAAAATAATTTTTTGTAGAATTATTGAACTGGGAGCACTCATGCCTACAGGTAGAAAAACCCTAAGCCCTTATAGACAGAAGAGACCCTTTCTTTTTTTAAGGCACTTTTGTCCTTTTATAAGGATGTGAGAACCTGAAGTACAGTAATAATATTGCTCAATATTTGTGTAGCACTTTACAGTTTAATGCTCAGTTCATGAGCATTGTCTCAGTTGGTATTTTTGTATCCATATAAAGCACCCGTGGTCCAATTTAAGTGTGCTCTTATGGTTAAAGAAACAAAATTCATACTCAGTGATCTATCACAGAAACAAAAAACGTAATACCATATGTTCTCACATATAAGTGGACCCTGAACATTGATTATAATACTATAAGACAGGGTTTGGCAGTAGCGGGACACTGCCAGGTGAGGAAGCGGGGCAACACATCAATAAGAGTACCTGATCTCAAACCAGGCAAAGTGGGGACCAAAGGGAGGCTCAAACTTTAACTGTACAATGACCACTTAGCTACCTAATCCTGAAGTGTACTCCGTATCTTTAAAATTAAATTAAATTAAATTTTTAAAAAGAAACAAAATTCAGCAATCAAAACTTCTTTCACAGTAGCTCAAAATTTTTACTTGAATTTCTTGAATATCATGAGATGGGTTGAAATACACAGTCCTTGGTAATACTTATTAAAAGTGCTCCCTACTACCCCTTTTTTGGTCACCTCCTGTCAATGACCCAGATGCTCTTTCTCCACAATTTCTCCCAAACCTTTCAACAAAAAACTTCATGTTACTTCTCTCTTCTATCCATCTCTTTCTCCCTCTCCCTCGGTGTGTGTGTCTGTGTGTGTGTGTGTGTATAAACATCAATTTATAACAAGGAAGAATCTGTCATTTGGTGCAAACTGATGGTATGGGAGGATTAAAAAGAAAATGTGACCAGAAATTGCAGGATTATTTTAGGTCAGTAGTAAAGATTCCTGATTCCTGTGATTTTTTGGTCATATTATGCTTAAACCATTTCAAAAGATAAAGTAGACATCTTTACCCCACTTTTATAGATGAGAAAGCTAATACTAAGCAGGAGATTTGCCCAAGGTCACCAAGTTGGTGATGGAGCTAGCACTTAAAATTGTCTTCTGACTCTAAGTCCAATATTCATTCTTTCAATTACATCACAGCTACCTCCTAGTTATCAGAAAAGTTCCCAATCAACCTTCTTCTAATGGTCCTAAGTTCTAACCAACCCCCTTCTGATGCCAAAGGATTCTGTAGCATGAAAATAATAAATTCCTGAAAATATCTTACTTCTCACTGTGGCACATAAATAAATTTCTAAAACATGTCAATAGCAACTTAAGTATCAAAACAATTATTTGCTGTTATTTTTCATGCCATCATTTAATAACATTTGAGAGCCTTAATATGTATTTAATTTTTTCTCATCTGCAGTTCCCCTTAGAGCATTAACAACTGGTTTTATTCAAGGGTCATTTGCCAAGTTGATAGTTGTCTTAGGTCTCATTTCATTACAGTTTAGCTCAAAATGTATTTAGCCTCCACTACATACTACTGTGACAGCCATTGTAGAATTGGATACCCAGGTAAGCAAAGGTGTTTCCCTTATTGTCAAGGAATTTGCAATGTGACAGGGGAAAGTTAATAGTACTCTAGACAGAGTTGCCTAAATGCTAACCAGAGACAATGGACAATGAAAAAGTAAAACAGGAATTTTCCCAGGCAAAAGAGAGGACATGAATGGAAACTTCAACAACGTGATTCTTCCTTAAAACAGTTATTGACCTCATTGAATTTCTTTAGGAAAATTTTTACACACACACACACACACACACACACACACACACACACACACACGGGAAAGAAAACCCCAAAATTTATTTCTTTTAAAAATGTGTATTTATTCTTATATGTTTAAACTTCAGTCACCTTCAAAGTTCTCTCCATTCAATGCACACACCTATTGAGATGCTTTTACTACTGCTCAAAAACTTGTTAATTTTGATGCCTTTTAGTGCTTCTGTTGTTTTTTGTTTCCATCTGGGGAAAGAAACAAACAAAAAATTTGCTTAGGGCAAAATCAGGTGACTAGGGAGGATAGGCATGGGAGTCATGCTGGTTTTGGTCAAAAACTACTGAATACTCAGTGCAGTGTGGGCAGGTGCTTTCATAAATCACTCATCATGAAATGGATAAACACGCTGAAAAATTCTAAAAAAAAAAATTTAACTGAAGCCAAAAGCAGCCTCTTCAAACAACACTAACTGCTACTCTGATACTGATGGATTCCTAGTACACTTTCAGCAAAGAAAGCTTAACTTAAGTATCAACAAGGGGCTTACCTTCCAAAATATTCTGGTGGTTTTTTGGGGGCGGGGTCTCCCTTCGTATGTACACAAAACAACAAAAAAAAGTCTTTTGTGCATTTCTTTTCCAGCTCACTGCAAATAGCCCTTTTTTTCATGCTCATCATTGTGTCTACATGAATATCTTCATATAGCTATACGAATAAATGTCTGCATTCATGTCTAATATGCATATTCAGCCAACCACCAGTGCGTACAAAAAATGTATGTACATGGCAGTACTTTTTTCTTCCTGTTTTATAGAGTTGTGTAGAAGGTGATTTTATGTCTGGAGGAGTTTGTTATTCTGATTCCAAGATGACAAGTAACATGGTAAGTATAAAGAGAATTATAGAGTGGAAGGTATCTGTGGAATAAGCTGCCCTGGAGTGAATATGACACATAGAGTCACCCACCTGTCCCTTTAAACAGCTGAAGAGGCCAGGCACAGTGGTTCATGCTTGTAATCCTAGCACTTTGGGAGACTGAGGTAAGAGGATTTCTCGAGCCCAGGAGTTTGAGACCAGCCTGGGCAACATAACAAGACCTCGTGTCTACAAAAAAATTTTAAAAAGTTAACTGGGTGTGGTAGCACACTCCTATAGTCCCAGCTACTCAGGAGACTGAGACAGGAAGATTGCCGGAACCCAGGAGATTGAGGCTGTAGTGAACCATGGATCATGCCATGGCATTCCAGTGTGGGTGACAGAGTGAGACTCCAACTCAAAAACAAGCAAAAATAAACAAAAAACTGGAGAGAGACTTTCCAATTGTCCTTGAAACAAAGCTAACTGAAGGGGAAATGCTCATGCTATTTAGGGAGATGCTGCTGCTGCTACTGTGTTTTTGCTGTTATAGTTCAGCATTCCCACAAATTCACTACTAGCTAAAAATATCTCAGATCAAAATTCTTTTGAGTGGTTACTACTGTGTTGGCATCCCTTAGGCACTGAAAAATGTGTGTTATTAGGTTTGGAAATAGAATGTATAACTTTCTTTTTCCTTACTTCTGGGAAATTAGAGAACTAGAGGAGGAAGAAAAAGTCCTTGTGTGGGTATAAAGGCAAACTTTTAATTAAGGAGTCATGGTGATCCCCTAAATTATGTTTTCTAAAGGAAGATTCAGCATCATACAGTGGTCAGAAACCTGTGCTAGAAGCATGACACCTAGAGGTTTTGTTTTCCATTCTCTCTACCTCTGTTGATATAAAAAGTTCTGTTGAAATATTTAAAGCTTCCTAAAGACAGAAATTTCCCTTCTAAGTCGCCCCTCCTGGATTCTGGTTATTACAGTAGAGGGATTTTTGTTTGTTTTGTTTATTTTATTTTTGTAAGGGGGCAGGAGGCTTTTGTCTCAACTCCTTCCTCACTGACTTTTCTTGCCACGTGTGAACGCTGCAAAATCCCATCTATATCCTCATTCAGGCAATTTGCAGAGAGCAGCCCTGGCATAGTCAGCGCTAATCCTGCTGCCTGGATTGCCTTTCCTGAGAGACCCACCTGAGTTCTTTCTTCCCCAAGCATTGATTCTGGCTTCCAAGGAGATGGAAGCTTCTGATCTCTGTTGGGATTCTCTCCTCTCTCCTGCGTTACCAAAGCCACTTGTCATTTCAGCTCACATTTCTAGGGGAAAATGTGGAGGTCAAAGAGATGATGACTACGTGGACTCTCCAGAAAGGAATCCCCCTCGTGGTGGTTAAACAAGACGGGCGTTCACTCAGACTACAACAGGAGCGCTTCCTGAAGGGGGTTTTCAAAGAGGACCCTGAATGGAGGTCCCTGCAGGAAAGGTGGCTGTTTTTCTTTTCTTGGTCTAGCTTACCTCATCTCAGTTTGCTCATTAGTTTGTTAGCTTTCTCTCAGTTCTTCTAGTAACTTTGTAGGATGGTAGTTCTACATAGGAATCAAAGACTGAAACTAGTTTAGATAATAGATTTTAAAAGCTTCAGCTGGCCCAGGCTACTTTTTCAGAAACCCCATTCTCAGATTCCATGTAGCCTTCAGAACCTCAGTTCTGATGCAAAGGGTGGTTAGTTATATGAAGGGTACTCAAAAGAACCTGGCCTTTATTTATTTTAAAAAAGTGTATTTACTACTACATTTTAAAATCCAGTTACCTTCAAAGTACTTTCTGTTTGATGCAATATAACTATCGAGATGCTTTTCCCACTACTCAAAACAATTTTTGAACTCATCAATTTTGATACCTTTTAGCGTTTCTGCCATTTTTTGCTTCACTTTCTCATATTGGCAAAACGTTTCCCTTTGAGGAGTTTTTTTCATCCAGGGAAACAAACAAAAGTTGCTCAGAGTGGAGATCAGGTGAACAGGGAGGTTGGGGCATGGGGATCATGCTGTTTTTGGTCAAAAACTGCTGAACACTCATTGCAATGTGGGCAGGTGTTTTGTCATGGGGAAGAACAAGTCACCTGCTTGCCACAACTTGGGACATTTCTCAAGAATGTAGTCTCCCACAACAACGCTAACTGATACACTGATATGGATGCTTCCGAGAACACTTTCCTAGTGGGAGAAGCTTGTACTACAAGGAGCCTGCCCTCCAAAAAGATAATTCTGGGTTTCAGGGATCCCCCTCATATTTCTATTATGATGCACTGACTTCTGGGCCCTAATAAGGTGTGCCACTGGCCTATACCTAGGAAGTGTATGATAACTATGCTTCTTATCAAGAAAAGATATTCCCTAGGTGATAAATTAGTTGCTAAGACCTCCTAAATGTAATGTCTTAAAACATAGGACGTTCTTGGTAATAATGAAAGCAAACCCTGTTAAACACACTGACATCTCATTCACCAGGCTATACTGAGCAAATGTGTTAAAGGCTTTACTAAAATCAAGAGACAACACTGTCCACATTTCTCTGATCAGTTAGCCCTGTTAATAAGACAAATGAACTTAATCTAAAATGAAACTATCCAATTGAACTTGTGCTGGTTCTTATGAGGATTATTTAATTTTTTAATGAACCTCACTGTTTAGCAATCAAGTCTAGAATGTTTCTGAGAATCAAGCAAAGCTGAACTGTTTAATGCATAAAATATATGGGGATTTTGTTTGTTTGTTTCATCAGTTGCATATTTCTAATCCAAGGGTAACCCTTATGCCAATTCCATTTTTCTGTATGTCCTTCTGAAGACCTCGGACAACTTAGACAACACATAACTTGGTAAAACAGTGTGAGAAATTTAATGCCTGATTCATTATTGGGAAATCAGGACTCACGATTTTTTAACTTATCAAAACATCATGAAAGAGTTAAAAACTGTGGATGACCCAGAATAACAAATATCTACTTTAATAATCTGTATTTTTCCTCTATCTGGGGCAGTATTTATACAACTCATATAAAATGATTACCCTTTGATTCATGACTACTCAAACTCATGAAGCTCTATTTACCCTCCCTCTACCACCAGATGTGTTTATCTGGAAAAAAATCCTTTCTCTTCTGTAGCCAAGGCGCATTCATTAATCCCAATCCACTGGGTCTTTGCAATATATATGTGTCCATTTTTACCTTTTTGTGTAAAGATTTCAAGTTTGCTGGTTAATTATCTGTACTCTATGGGTAGCATGTAGATCACTTTTCTCTGATCTCTACAAGACTAGATGGAGTTAGTATATGCCATTTCCTCTATTTTATAATTTTCTAAGGATTGACGTGTACTTTCTCAGTTACTTTCCCTTCCGTTTTATACCTGTTGTGTTATCAAACACACAAGTTTACATGTGTAGGATTACACATGTAAACTTATTTAATAAATTCTAGAGGCTGCTAGAAAATTAATTTAAAAAAATAGAAAATTTCTCTTCTTTTCTATGGTAAGGTCATATCTGAAGTCTTTTCCTCCATCTATCCTGCTTTTCTGCTCTCTGGATTTAGCCCTCCTGCAGAATCTAGGTTGAAGCATTGTACCCATTTCTTTGCAGTCATTAAGCAGTTGAGAGATTAGATGCGAGTTGTTCTGCTGAACAAAAGAATATGTTTTTAAAAATTACTGGAGTAAGTTTTTGTTTTGTTTTTTCCTCTTAAGACTTTCCTTACAGCTTTAGTTTGGTTGTCTGAATCAACATCAGACTCTCAGAGTTCTGAAAACATGAAGGATATATTGTATTATTTTCTGAAACAGCAGAATTTGTTATGGTGTGAGATCATGGCAGCAAATGACACAGGTGTTTGTGGCAGAGTTCAACAGAGTATGTATTGCTGATCCTCCATAATCATCACGGAAGAAATTTTTACAAACTTAAGGATATGCTGGTCTTAGCTTATAAAATGTGCACAGGAAGGGTGCTTAACTGTCTTTTACAATCTTTAACAGCCTATCTGAATCTGCCAATGTGAAAATTGAAAAGGTCATTTATTTAGTCTGTAACTATCTTTACTTTCTTACATAGGTACCTGTGGCATATCCCACTGACCTACTACACGAGTTCCTCTAATGTGATTCACAGACACATTCTAAGATCAAAAACAGGTAACTAACTAATCAGCCAAACAGGTGTTTCAGTGCTGAAATTAAACATGTTTGGAGCTATTTGAAGGAAAGATACTGTAAGTAAATCTAATAACAAAAGATTTACATTTCGGATAAGTTCTCATGTGTTATTTACTAAAATAATCCTTCAGCTAGAAAGTCTGAATTTTTCAATCAGTGGGAAGTTCTCTTGTGCTTTCAACACTTAGAAATAGTTTTGAATAAATATCTATAAAGAAACAAACCCATAAATAAATGATGGAATCCTATCTTATGTCTTTCAATACCCACTAATCCATTTTCATGAATTATGCATGAGGCAAAAATGTTTAGTGGAAAAAAGCATACACTTTGAATTTAATTTCAAATTCTCATTCTGTCACCAATTAGATGTGTGACCTTAAGAAAATTTTTTTAATTCCTCCTGAGCTTCGATTTTTTTCATCTTATTTTGAATGAAGACTAGGTCTCACAAAGTTGTTGAGAGAATATTATAATTTAATTTTACCGCCTAGCATAATATATACCATATTTTAAAATATGTAATATAATTTTAATTTTTCTTTAAACACTTTACTAAAATTTGAAAGGTTTCTCATCACAAAATCATGTTGAATTTGTAGTCTCTATTTCACTGAAATGGAAAATGGATCATCTATTTACACGTACATATTCAATGACTAGTAACTAAACCTTGAGTCAAGGGCACCAATAAATTAATAAATTAAGCCAAATTTTAGTTATGTTTGCCATCTGGCTTCTGGGTCCTTGCATGCCTCTTACACTGGCATAGACTATTTATGAGAACAAATCAGGAGTTCTCGTCCTGTGAATTAGTGTATTAATTTAATTAGATGATCTTTCTCCAGAAGTTCATCCAGTAGACTGTAAAAAGGAATATCACAACTCTTCTAAATCTGTCTTCTGGCCAGATGTGGTGGCTCACACCTGTAATCCCAGCACTTTGGAGAATGAGATGGGAGGATCTCTCAAGGTCAGGAATTGAGACAAGCTTGGACAACATAGTAAGGTTCCATCTTTACAATGATAATAATCATAATTTTTAAAAATTAGTCAGGTGTGCTGACACATGCCCTGTTGTCCCAGCTACTTGGGAGGCTGAGCTAAGAGGATTCATCGAGCTCAGAAGTTCTAGGCTGCAGTGAGCTATGATTGTGCCACTGCGTTCCAGCCCGGGTGTTAGAGTGAAACCCCCTCTAAAAAACAAAACAAAACTATTTTCCCATTGACTTATTAGTAACATGATTAAAACTAACAGTTTTGGAGAGGTTCCTGATGTGTATGTTGATAATGAAATGCCTATGGCATTTTCTTCCTTCTAGATACTCTGGATTTACCTGAAGAGACCAGTTGGGTAAAATTTAATGTAGACTCAAACGGCTATTACATCGTTCATTATGAAGGGCAAGGATGGGACCGACTCATTGCTCAGATGAATCAGAACCACACACTTCTCAGACCTAAGGACAGAATAGGTCTCATTCATGATGCGTTTCAGCTGGTTAGGTAATACAAATTTCATCTGACAAATTTTAGCAGTTCACAGGAAGTAACTGATCCATAGCCAGATAAGCTAGATTTCAGAATAAAATGTCCAGTGTTGATCATTCATTTGTTCTGAATCTAAATGGAGGTCAAATATTGGCCACTAGGCCAAAATCTACCTACTAATATAGTATTTTGACTCACACAGTGTTTATAAATTTAATACAATATTTTTAAATGTGGAGAACTTTATATAAAAATCTTAATTTCTGGACTCTCTTCAGCTGGATATTTGGCAACTGTAGTCCTTTATTCCCACAGGATAACCACAGAGGAGGGTGCAGTGAGCTAATCCCCTTTAGGCCAGGCCTGTAGCTTCCCATGCACCAAGGTCCAAACAGCACACAGTGTGCTGTTTCACTCACTTAGTGTGAACCCTCTAGGCATGTGAACTTTCAACCCCATGTTTAAAATGTGTTCATGCTAGTAGCTGTTATGCCAGATACCTGTGCAATCTCCTAAACAAAGAGTATCAGTATAGTCTTAACCTTTACAGTTTTATATGGGTTGTTAGCCTGCCGCACAATCTGTTACTTACGTGGGGAAGTCAGTATGAAACTGGTAGGGAAGTGAAGTAAGAATTGGCTGCTTATGTTTATTCCTCTCTATACTTCCCAGGAAAGAGAATGTTTTCTTTCCTTTTCTATTTATAATCAACAAAATAATGTGTAGAACAAATCAGGTCACAAGATCAACAATGGGGAGGGGGAAATGAGGATCAGATAGAATATTGTGTATTGTAAGCTTTTCCTATTCTGAGAATTACTATAATGTACTCACTTTATTCAGTGTGACATGTTTCCTTTTAGATGTTTGTTTAGGTCAGATTGAGGAAAGACATCTTTCAGGCAGGACTTCTCAGTACAATGGAATAATCTAGATAGCAGAGAGGAGTGAGGTGTAATCCTTAGCCCAGTGAGTCTCAAGAACATCATGGTAGCATGGCTCTTAGGAAGAACACCATTCTACATTTGAGCAAATACATGATAGGCTCACTAAGAAGTAGGCTACTGTTAGTTGAAGGAGGTTTGTCTGCTCAAATGAAAAACCCTGCACAGATTGTGGAGAAGGTAAATTAAAAATTTAAGACTAGGAAAAATGAAGAATATTGACAACTCAGCAAATGAAATCCCATCTTCTAAGTAGCTGTAAACTCTTTCTTGCTGTTTCTAGCCTACAGATTTATGGGTAGTCTAAATTTAGCAGGAGGAGCCCTACAGTTATTGATGCATTGGTGGGAAAACAATAATATTTTCTTTATTTGCCAGAGAGATTAATGAAGTTAAGGATACGAATTTTGGATGAAGACAGAAGAGTTTAAGTACTACCTTTTCACTTTTTGTTTGAGCTTGGGCACTTTTTTTAAAAACCTTTTTAAGTCTTCATTGTTTTAGTCTTGAAAACTTTAGTAATAATAATATCTAACATACAGCATTGTTTTGAGGATTGCATAAGATAATGCAGGTAAAACACTAAGTGCAATATCTGTTCAGTAAACGTCAGCTGTCAAAATTATTAGTATTTTCTATTACTAATTGTTTAAAATGTCATGAGTTGAGTAGGAAGAAGTGACAAACACTTCAAACAATTTGAGTTTGGGAAAAAAGCAGAATGCAAGTTTGTATATTATTATATTTGCAAGTACATGGGGAAAAAATAAATGAAAAAACCCAAAGGAATTTTTTCAAAATGCTGCTGGCGAATGTATAGGTAGTGAAATTATGAGCCTTTGTCTCCCTCTTTTCTAATTTTCAATCGTTTTATAATTTGTTCATATTTATTTATATTTCTTTTATAATAAAAATGATTGTCTAAGGAAACAAGTTAAAACTTGCAGGTCTTAAATATTTTTACTTGATATTCTCTTGCAATAGTATAAATCCCTTCTCTCTCTGTTCTATGAAATATTCACTTAAGAGTTAAAGGAAGTAACAGTAATCATGTTTAGTTTGGAGACAAAATTTGACCCAGCAATGGATATTCATTTGAATTAGATTTCCATGCTTTTAAAATATAATTTAAAGATTTGGGTGTTGTATGAATTAAGTGGAATTAAAATGACAACTTTAATTTCCTTACAGAAAAGCTGTATTTATTTCTTTTAGTCCCATACCTTAAAGAAAAAAACTCCAAATTGGCTCTTCAAAAATATAATTTTATTTCTCAAAGGTACAAACTAGCTGAAATTGTCTGCAAACAAATAGATGTAGTTTTTTTGCTGTTGGGTTGAAGTATATGCTTATACCTATGCTGATTCTTTAACCTAAACAAACATTTCAGATAACATTTTATGCATGGATTGAAGCAAGGGATAGAAAGTGAGAACCTAGATTTGTATTAAACAATTGAATAACTGTATGAATAAAAAAAGAGTCCTTTGTGAATTAATATGAAGATTAAAACAAATAGACAAATATAAAAGTAAAGATTTCTAATAATGGCATTGATTTTAGTAAGAAATTAACGAGGCCGGGATGAAAAGAAAGACAGGTTTACTGTAAAGCAGTTTTTAATGTGTCAAACGTGGATGATGATGATGACGACTTTACAGGCAGAGTCTTCCTCTGCCGCCAGCTGGAGTGCAGCTGTGTGATCTTGGCTCACTGCAGCCTTGAACTTCTGGGCTCAAGCAATTTTCCTGCCTCGGCCTCCCTGGTAGCTGGGATTATAGGCAAGCACCATTGACACCTGGCTATTTTTATTATTTGTAGAAATGGTGGTCTCCCTTAAGGTGCCCAAGCTGGTCTTGAACTCCTGGCCTCAAGTAATCCTCCCACCTCAGCCTCTCATAGTGCTGGAATCACAGGCATGAGCCTCTGATTCCAGCCCAAACATTCTTTTTTAAATTGTGACCTTGTTTCCTCCTGTGACTGATGCTAAAGTATTAGCTGCCCCACATATTATGGTTAGAAATAGTGACATTTTGTGGATTTGTTTCTTAAAAAAATACATCAGACCACGGAATCATAGAGCATGTGGTCTCACCCTGTCTTCAAAGTTTTTGAAAAATTTTTTCTAAGTCTGTTTTTAAGTAGTATGTCATCATGATCAAGAAGATTAAAGGCACAAAAAAGTTGGTTATTTTTCTATTTCCTTCTAGTTTCAATTCTTTCTTTTAAGATCAGAATTTAAAAATAAAAATCCCACAGGAGGCAGGCTATTATATTAATGATAAATTCAACAGAGACATGCTCTGTCCTGGAATCTGTTTCCACAGTACACGATTGTGTTAATCTGAGAGTTGGATGCTCACAAGAAGGGCTTGTAGAGCCTGTGTGGACGCACAACTTCCCAGAAAATATATGGGAACCATTTTGCAAATGTGAGTCTATCATGATTTGTTTCCTCTGTGGAAGACACTCCTGCATTTTGATACTCAGAATAATATTCTGTTGTTTATTCTTCTCATTGAAAGAGTAGAGGAGGTATATAACTTAAGAATCTAAATAAGATGAACATTTTTTTTGTCCTATTCACAATGATCACTGCTTCTCTGGTAAGTTAAGGACAAACATCAAAGAAAAAACATGGCATGACACCTGTCCTCAAAGTTCCAGATTTATTTGGAGAATCAAGTCAAACCCACACATGAAGTAATCAGAGAATGATATATGGAAGGAATTTGGTGTTAAACATTAAATTAGCTAATATTTGTTTCATTTGCTAACTTCTTACTATGTGTTAGGTATTACTCTAAGTGCTTTTATAAATATTAACTCATTTAACCCTCGCAAGTCTATTAGGAAGATACCTAATATTCTACCTATTACATAAAGGAGGTACCTGAGGTCCAGAGAGGTTAGGTAATTTGTCCAAGATCACACAGCTAGTCAGTGGCAGAGCCAGGATTTAAACCAAATGGCCTGGTTTTAATGAACTACTCTTGTTATTGCCTTCTATTTCATATTTATTTTCATATTTAAAATATTTTTAAAAATTAAGATATAGCCAGGTGTGGTAGCGCATGCCTGTAATCCCAGCATTTTGGAGGTGAAGTCAAGAGGATTACCTGAGCTCAGGGGTCTAAAACCAGGCTGAGCAACATGGCGAGACCTCATCCCTACAATAAATAAAAAATATCAGCCAGGCAAGGTGGCACATGCCTGTGGCTCCTGTTACTTGGAAAGCTGTGGTGGAAAGATCACCTGAGCCCAGCAGGTTGAGGCTGCGGTGTTTGTGAACGTGCCACTGCACTCCAGACTGGGCAACAGAGTGAGACTCCAACTCAGCAAATAAACAAACAAATAAATAAATAAAAAGTAAGATATGTACAAACCACTAACATCTGTTACATTATATCTCAGTGCAGGAAGGCTGACCCTGGACAAAGCCCTCGACATGACGCGCTATCTCCAACACGAAACAAGCCGCCCTGCACTTCTCAAAGGTCTGAGATACTTAGAGTTGTTTTACCACATGATGGACAGAAGGAATATTTCAGATGTCTCTGAAAACCTCAAGGTTTGTGTTACTTTTAGGAAATGTTTTGAGTCAATACATAGTGTCTGGAGGATCAGTGAGGCTCAGTCTATTTTGAGTTACGTCCTCGGGGTTAAAACATAGAGAAGTTGAGAAGACTGGCTGACTGTACAGCCTTAGCCACAGGCCCTCATGGTCAAGGCCCCTCATTCTTTGTTATTGTTGATTTGTTATTGTTGATTTGAAAAGCTAGATTCCAGTATCACGAGCAAAGCTTCTCTCCTAAAGGCAATTTTATCTCACAGTTGATAGTCTCCTCTTGGATAGGAACATAAGTCATATTTTAATGCAAAAACTCTATTGTGGGTGAAAGCCAAAAAGAGATGAGAAATATAAAGACAAGTAACTCTGTGTTTTGGGAAAAATTCATGCAGAAAGTTTGAGCCCTTTAGATGGGTACGAGCTGTGTTAAGAACTAAATTTAGCCTCTCTGTAAACCATCTCATATTTTCTGCAGCGTTACCTTCTCCAGTATTTTAAGCCAGTGATTGACGCGCAAAGCTGGAGTGACAAGGGCTCGATCTGGGACAGGATGCTCCGTTCTGCCCTCTTGAAGCTGGCCTGTGATCTGAACCATGATCCCTGCATCCGGAAGGCAGCTGAACTCTTCTCTCAGTGGATAGAATCGAATGGAAAATTAAAGTAGATCGAGACTTCTGCCCTATTCTTTGTTCTTTTCACTTTGATGTAAAAGTCTTTGATCAAGCAAGACATTAGATCTAAAACCTTTTAGTGAGGATAGAAAAAAAACATGCTGGGAATTACATATTCCGTTTCAGGCTCCCACATTGTAAGTGCTCGATAGATTTTGTGGGAAGCAAGGTTTAGGTCCCTGTAGGAGAAAGCTAATAAAAATTGGCATGGTAACAGAAAGACAGCCAGCAAATAGAAGCAGGAGGATCCCAACCTCCAAAAGTGATGCCTTTTAAAGATAAAAAGATGTTAGAAGAAGCAATGTGAAATATACCTGCAATTAAAACACCAGTGATTATTTGATGAAACTCGTTTAAAAAAAGGAAAGTGCTTTTTTAAAGAAACGCGTTTCTCCGTTATCAACCAATACTAAAGGCCAAGCCTTAGTCCAAGTTTCATCTTGGAAGGAAAACTGATGATTCTGGCCTTCTAAAGGATGCGTTGAGTGGCAAAATCGACTGTGATAGTGAATATAATCAGGAAGATACCCAGTGATCAAATGGATTATGTTGCAGTTCATCTCAGCAGCTGCAACCTATAGATATGAACAGACCCCACAATCTGTTCAGTGCAAGCCTTGATTTCTGCCTAACACATATTTTTATAATGTTATTTTTTTTAATGTGACTCTAGAGTTGGATGTTTTGGGAAATTAATTTATATGTGCATTAAGGAAAATTTGACTTTTTAAAAGAGAAGGAAAAAAATTCACAATTTTGGCACCATGGAATGTAATGGTGTCCTTTTTTTCCTATGCCAAATTGTTATGATATGCTACTATAACTTCTCTCCCCATGAGTAAATTTCAGTGAGTTTGTTGAAATTCTTTCTTGAGTTCTTCTTTTAAAAAAGTAATTCAAGTTTTCTGAAAAAATTTTTTTGCTGTTCATTGGGATTTAAGCCTAAAATTAGTTAAAAATATATCTTTTAGATCTACTATTCTCTTTTTTTTTCTGTTTGAATAAGTTATATGAGTAAAGCTAAAATGTAAACATCCTGTTGTCCTATCACAAAATAGTTTTTTTTAACCCCAGACTCTAAGACTACTAGCATGAATCTTAATGAGGAATTTCCTTACATAGATTAATTAATTACTTTATTTATGAATTTAAAGTATAATTATTTTCATGTCTCCTACATGCCAGCCAGGCACCACTGTAGGAGCTAAGGAGAAAGTAGTGAACAAACAACCATGCAGCCTATCTTCAAGGAACTTACAACATCTTTGTTACCAATTTCTGTAAATTTGTACAGCCAAATACACTAAAATGAAAATGATAGTGAATATCATTTAGTTACTTAGTTCTTATTTTGTGACTCAAATGGCACTTGGGATATTTAAGTACCTACAGCATAGCAGAAATAGTACAAACTTTAAAATCATAGGTTTAAATCTCAAACTCCAGAATGGCTGGTGACATTACCTTGCTCAAATTACATGATCTTTCCAAGAATTATTTCACTTTTTAAAAAATCTGAATAATAACTATCTCATTGGGTGGTATTGACAGTTAAATAAGATGTACAGAAACTAGTACAGTTCTTACCATATGGTCACTGTGTGACAAATGAGAATTTCCTGGTCCCTCCCCACTACTCCGTATTGTGGTTTTTCTGAGCCATCAATATGAATATCACTTCCTGTTGATCTATTGATCTTTGGAATTAAAAGTCATATACCAATTTAGAATAAAAACTAGTTATTGTCCTATAAAACAATCAAAATCAAAATCATGGCATCTTATTTAGAAGGACAGAAAATAATGTCATTGCACATCTTACTAGTTTTATGGAACTATGAGATGGCTGGACCTTATCAACTGTGCTAAATTGCAATTAGAGAGTCAGATGACTCTCAGACCTCAGAAAGTGCTCTCAACTTGATGTCAAAGCATCAAGTTCTCATCCTTGAAAAAAAATCTTGTAGCTCCAATGAAGGTTATTTAATGATGGAATTTGTATAAACCAGTAATTATGTATTTCAGAAATCGTCTTTTGTATTTATTGAGTCCATCAACTTGTTGTATTCATCTTATGCTTATTCTGCTTGCTAACATTTTATCATCAGTAGGAGATAAAACACAAACAATTTGCAAAGTAAAATTACATAAAATATTTTTATAAAAGTTTGGCAAAAAAAGATTTAATGCACATAGTACTAGAAATAATTATTGTGTGATTCTGTTATGACAACTTAAAATTGTAATATGAAAAAGGATTATTTTTCATAAGATTTTTTCCACTTTTTTGCTTAATATTACAGTATTCCAACAGATGTTTTAAAGATTGTGTATTCTGTGGGTGCTCAGACAATAGCAGGATGGAATTACCTTTTAGAGCAATATGAACTGTCAATGTCAGGGGCTGAAAAATACAAAATTCTATATGGATTGTCAACGAGCAAACATCAGGAAAAGTTAGTGAAGTAAGTTTATAAATTTAACTAAATTGTTAAAAGTGCACTGATACAAATGCAGTAATGTCTCTAAAATTTCAGCCATGAAAGAATTGGATCAGAATTTGTATGGCTTTAACTTTACAGTCAGAAGAGAAAAAAAGTATATTGGCTAAATGCAAATAGTGAAAACATATTTTCTGGTAATTATGTGATTGAAACTAGACAAATGACTATGTTTTACTTTTAGAAATTTGGAGAAAAATTATTGTTATAAAAAGACATTATTGTATATAAAATGTATATAAGATTCTGACCAAAGTTCTTTGAAATAAGTAAATATTTTTGCTACAGATGATAAAATAATATAAATTATTGCTAGAAAAATTAAGAGTTTAGCTAGAACATTTGAAAATATTAGTCAGTAGAATAATTATTGTTGTTCTTGGTAAATTATACTTTTATCATGCCTCTTTTTGTTCTATTATTTTAATATATTGGTAACCTGAGTTAATTTTCATGTACCTCCTATGACAAAATAAATGACTTTTGTTCCTTCAGATTAATTGAGCTAGGAATGGAAGGAAAGGTTATCAAGACACAGGACTTGGCAGCTCTCCTTCAAGCGATTGCCAGGAATCCAAAGGGACAGCAATTAGTCTGGAATTTTGTAAGAGAAAATTGGACCCATCTCCTAAAAAAGTTAGTATTCATTTATGTCCACGCAGATGTCCCAGTTGTCTCAAACCAAGTGTAATCAAATGTTTCTCAAAACATATATATAGTGCAATTTTTATTCAAATGATTCAGTGAAGCCTACCAACTTTAAAACTCACTAGCCCAAATTATCTTGGTCAGGAGTAAGGGAGAAGGATGAAAATAAGGGAGTGGGAAATAGACTTCTTGCATTCAACCCAGGCAAAAGGTCTCTGGGAGCAAGTATGAGTTGAGTGAAACCCAATCATCAGCCCCATCCCACCATCCCCTCCTGGCTCTCCTCAGTCCAGATGAATCCTGTGGAACTTTATATAGTGCATCAAACATATTTGGCCTGCTTTGTTAATGCAGTTTTGTTCTGGGGGAAAACCTCAGGAATTTTGTTGAGAGCGAATTCCCTTGTCCTGCTCCCCTGTAGAAGTGGCACAGTGGAAACCTTGGTGCAGAAAGCAAACCAGTCAGGAGTGTTTTGGGAGTCCCCCTCCAAAACTGTGTTGGTTCTGAGTCTTTTCTGAAGTTTCAACTGGAGCTCATTCCAGTATGTTCCTGGGAATAAAATATTCTCCAGAAATAACCCATAATGATTAGATTCTTTTGAAATGTATAGGATGGCATTTTTTTCCCTCTTTCACTCATACGCACCCCCCCCCCCACACACACTGTTAAGTCACTCATCCATTCCTAATCCACACCCAAAATGTTACTTATGACATATATGGAAATATCCTGAATCAGAGGACTATGTGATATGCTTTGTTTACCTTAAGGTCTATTAGCATCTCTGATGTCATTCATCCCCCAGTTCCCTCTTCTCTCTCAGTTCGTGCCAATGGACAGTTCAGAGTCCTCATTTCCATTCCTCTCCAGATATTCACATGAAACCAAATAAAGGGGGCACACCTCATCAACAGGGGTAACTGCATGATGAACATTTGTATAACTAACCTTGAATTGTAACTCACATCTTTAAAATAAAAATTAAAAAATTAAAGGAAAAAAAAGAAGAAACCAAATAAAAAATGCCTTAAAAAAAAAAAAGTTTCCCTGAAGACCCAATTGGAACCATTGGTTTGGCTGTTTGCACAATTGTCAATTTTGTCATGAAATGGTCAGACTTCTCATGCAATACTGTAAATTTCCTTTTAAACTAGAAATTATGCACTTTCTCATCCATGAGCAGAGTCTAGTCTTGAACCATTTTCTGTTCTGGGTTTGTGCACTGTTTTTTAAGCATTAATCACTTTGACCTGTGATACAAGTTTTCTAGGTATAAAAAACGGGGTGAAGGATGTAGTCTGTGGCTGTGAATTAGAGTTCAACCAATCAACCTTGCCCTAATAAACACCACGTATAAGGGAAGTGTGCAAGACAATACATTAGAATACAAGAAAATAGTGCTACATACATTATTTCTTATCTTATGCTTTTAATTTTATATGATTTATTATAAATTTATAAATATACATAATATATAATGTACGAAAACTAAATAAATATGTTGTTTATATTATTCTTATCACGTGCTTTCAATCTTTTTACCATACCATAATGAAAGCAGATAATTCATAAATAGAAATCTATACATTGGGAAATTGTTTAAAAAATCTTTACAGATAGGAGTATGTAATTTTTAAAAAGTAATGAACACTGCTTTAAATATAAACATAAATCTGAACATAAACATTACTGAGTAACCTAATCATATTTCCTAGAGTACTTTTATCTATATTTTCATTTTATAGTAAAATCTTTTAGCTCTAAAATTGTACTGAATGAATATGAGTTATTATGATAGTGATTAATAATATCTATTATAATGCATAAAATTATCACATAGTTATTAATGTTATACATTTAACTATAGTACATGCTATAATAAACATAAGGTCAGTATTTTTATTATTTACATCTATCAAGTTTCTTTTTATTTTCAGATTTGGCTTGGGCTCAATTGCCATGAGAACAATCATCTCTGGCACAACATCTCACTTTTCTTCCAAGGATGAGTTGCAAGAGGTTAGTGACTTTCTATTATTAACAATTTCAGCAAGTAAGTAGAAGGGACAGGATTAAAAGCTGACTCTTAAAATGCATGTGTTCACAGCATTCAAAGTGAAAATACTCTTGAGTCTTTTTGGAGTCTTTCATTCATATTGTATCATAATGCAAGGGTGATGATATTAATGTGTGGGAGTGTTATTCAACGGTATTTTTAATAGAACTGTTATTGGTAATTCTAGTCTTTTTTAAGCATTCTAGTATTTTACATCTTCCTTTCACAATAAATCTTGAAATTGTTTACCCTTTAAGCAAATTGAGAATTCCAGAACTTAGATCCCAACTCACCTTTTACTCTATGACCTGGGTCAATCATTTAACTTTTTTACCCACAATGTGCTCACTTGTAAGATGAGGATTTATAATTTCTGTCTTACATTATCTACTGTTTGCAGACAAAGTGAAATAATAATTATAAAAAAAAAAAAAGAAAATAATCTTCTAGGTGCAGAGAAATGCCTGCACCTGTGTGTGTATAATTTGTAAGCTGTTTTGAAATTTTTTGGAAGACAAAGTGTTTTATGAACCATGCCAGTAATTTTGTTCTTGCATATTTTTCAGGTGAAACTATTTTTTGAATATCTTAAGTCCCAAGGATTACATCTGGATATTTTTCAAATTGTTCTGGAAACCATAGCCAAAAATATTAAATGGCTAGAGAAGAATCTTTCCAGTCTGAGGACTTGGCTACTGGTTAGTGTTTAAATGTCAGTAGAAAGAGATATGGCTGTGCCTGCATGAAGTCAAAGTAACACCAACGAAACTGAAGTTAGAGTTGTGGATATTTTGTCTAACCAGTGAGAAACCTCAAGAAATCTGCCAGCACAGCTGCCTGCTTTCAATTATCATCTCCAGCTGAAGGATATACAATGTTTGGGTGAGGAAAGTTCAGTTCAGTAGTCTATTTAAAAGTAAACTTCCAGAATAATGGATAAATGTGGAGATACAGACATGAATATATACATATAGCTGTGGTTGTTAGCCTCAATTCGACACTCTCCATTGCCTCACACTCTGCCACTACTTTGCTTTTTAAATTTTTGTTGTTTGTTTTTAAACCTTGCTTGGCTATCCTGGAGTTTACACAGCCAATTTTAGCTCCAAGGAAATTTAGCAAATCACTAAACAAATATATATATATCCTTTTCTTATCTTTTTCTTTTTGAGTCAATGTTTCATTCTGTTGCCCAGACTGAAATGCAGTAGTACACTTATGGCCACCACAGCCTCCCACCTGCTGGGCTCAGGTGATCCTTCTGCCTCAGCCTTCCAAGTAACTTGAATTATATGCACACCACCATGCCCAGCTAATTTTTTGATTTATTGTAGAGACGAAGTCTCGCCAAATCACCCAGGTTGGTCTCAAATCCCTGGACTCAGGTAATCCTCTCACCTCTGCCTTCCAAACTGCTTGGATTACAGGCATGAGCCACCATGCCAGCAAATCTCTTTCATGTGTATCTTTCCATGTCCTTACTCTCCCCTGCCTTTAACTCAGTCTGAACTGAATAGTTTAATTTTTACTATTCATGGAAAATGACATGAATTATGAAAATTAAGGATCAGGAAACCAGAGACTTTGTCACCAAATCTCATATTATTAGAAACTGGATAGATATCAGGGTTCATCAAGGAAGCTGGAGGGCCTTCTGGTTTAGGCCTCACATCCATGAAGAGCCTCAAGGGTTGACTTTTGAGGTCATTTCCAATGAGATTTAATCTGCAGTCACAGAGGTACAAGAAAGAAATAAGATACTCATCATACCACTGTGATCCATATACTACTGCATTTTAAATAAATCTTTTGAAAATTGTAGAATAATATTGCATTGTATAGTTTGGATTGAATTGTGGTTTTTAAATACTGTAAATATTTAAATATATCACCATATTTTGTAACCCAGGTTCAGCATTTCTTCCTATTATAAGAGAAACTCTTTTTTTTTTTTGAGTTGGAGTCTCACTCTGTTGCCCAGACTGGAGTGCAGTGGCCGCTCCCGGCCACCGCAGCCTCGCCTGCTGGGCTCCGGCGATCCTTCCGCCTCAGGCTTCCCAGTAGCCGGAATTACAGGCATGCGCTACCAGGTCCAGCTGATTTTTTGATTTATTGTAGAGATGAGATCTCGCTGCCCAGGTGGCTCTCGAACCCGCGGGCTCAGGCAATCCACTCACCTCAGCCTCCCAAAGGCGCGGGATTACAGGCTGAGCCATCGAGCCCGGCTGTATTTGTTTTCCTTAAAGGAAACTTTTATCTCTGAAATGCCTCCTAGATGCTTTTCTTAATCGTTTAAGATAGTTTGGGATAAATAAAGAAAATGCCTCCTTGCATATAGTTAGAGAACTTAATCAATTCATGATCCCATGTATGAATCAATATGAAAATATAAATACATTTTAGAAAGACTTGAATCAATGTGTAGATGACCAATTTAATTGAACTATTAAGAAAAGCTAAGAATGTTGGGACAGGAGGGAGGGTGTTATCCAACCCGCTCTGGAGTGACATCGCGAAGTCCAATTATAGATTACAGACCTTTCTCTGGTGCCACAGTCAGAGGTAGATAGAATACAGTTTGGGTGGGCCATGGGTATGTTTTCTTATATTTGTTTTCAAATTGTTTCTTAAAATTTTTGAAGCATCTTTAACTCTAGATTTGACCTGGTCATGGACCTACCTTGGTTTTTATAACACCTAAGTGATATCTCTTTAGAATTATATATGTTTTTAGCACTAGAAAATTGAAAGAGTAAAGAATGCTATTTTTTCATCAAGATAATAGTAAATTAAACAGTAAAAATGTGTATGTGTTACAGTAGAACTATGCCATCAACAATATTTTCATAAATATGCAAAGTTTTTATGTAGTAATTTATTTACAAATTTGCAAGTTTTAATTCTCTTTCTTTCAGTTTCTTATCTAAATACAATATTGAATACATTTGCAATTTCTAGGATTCTTAAGAATTGAATATCAAAATTGACTATTATTATTCGATGAAATGTGAGAATTGCTATGCCAATAATGTTTTAATGAATAAATAGTTTTTAAGAAACGAATGTATTGTACTTGTTAGTGTGGTATTTTGAAAGCTTTATGATGGATGCCAGGTCACTAACATCAACTCAGACTTGGTTAAAGTTAGTTTTTCTTTCCTTTACCCTGAGTGAACAAATAGGGTGTGGAAAAAGTTATGTGCAAGATTATGAAAAAATGGTGGGTTTGAGCAGACACAGCTTTTCTGGGTCTCTCTCATTCTCTGCAAGGCCTAGTGAGAATTTTGTGGTTTCACAGCCCACTCGGAATGAGAAAGCTTTCAGATTACGGAAGCCCGGAACCAACAGCTTGTTCCCTTTTCAGGCTTTGTGTAGGGGACAGTAGACAATACAGCCTTCAAGAGTCCAACTTATTACCATGATAAGGAATTTCTTGTCTGATGTCATGTACATACTTTTGCATTTCAGCCCATATGAGGTTCCAGAGAAGCAGACCTGCCCAGAAACTATTCAAAGGGATTCTGATTTTCTGAGAGACATTCCTGGGTTTTTTTTGTTCTATGTTTTATTTCACCCCAGACAATAAGGAGACCCTCCAAAAAGCCATGGGAACCAGTTCTCCACGTGAGCATAATGTCTACCCAACACAAGACTGTTTTTACTCTGCAACATTTCCTTCACTTGTATTCTTTATTGTATTCTTTCTTCCATTTCACCACGTATCACTATTTTTTAATCTCAACATGTAATGGGTCACACTTTTTACATTTACAGATTTTAACCAATCATATATTAGGCTGTCTGCTTCCTGATGTCTTAATCTCATTAAAATCTGACCTCCAGATCATAAGGAAGAAAGGAGGAAAATGATCATGAAAGAATTGTCTTTTCTGGCTCAAAGCATATGTATATTTTTCATAATCTCATATTTTAATGTATCACACTGGACAATTTTCCTGAAGGGGATGTTAATTCACTTTCTTCTTATTCCTACATTCTGTACTTGTCAGTGCCAGATAGTAATCACTCCTCTCTAGAAAGATTCAAGGTACCATTCCCCTGATATCTTTCTGAGTCCTTTGATTTTAGAAGAGTCTTTTGTAAAGAGACTATACCTGAATTTTGTTTCTTGTTGTGCTCCCTAGCTTGGGTAGGTCCTGGGTTTTGTCATCTGGCCCTAGTGTTCTCTCTTTTATTTTTTTTATTTTTATTTTTTGAGTTGGGGTTCACTATGCTGTCCAGGCTGGATGCAGTGGCACAATCATGGCTCACAGCAGCATTGACCTCCTGGGCTCAGGTGAATCCTTCCACCTCACTCTCCTGTGTAGCTTGGTCTACAGGTGTGCACCACCACGCCCAGCTAATTTTTTTTTGTAGAAACAAAGTCTCTCTATGTTGCCCAGGCTGGTCTCAAACTCCTGCTCACAATCTTCCTGCCTCAGCCTCCTAAAGTACTGGGATTACAGGTGTGAGCCACTGGGCTCAGCCTCCAGCATTCTCAAAGGCATGAAAACTGAAGCTTGAGATGCCCTCAAGGCGAAAGTTGCCCTCAGCCTTTTCTTTATCCCTCATGCTTCTGCTGTCACTTAGTTTTTGATCCATGAGTATTCTTTACTAACTCTCCAGGTTATCCATGCATTAAAGCAAATTTTATTCTACATTTTGAGTTATTTTGAGCAGGAAGGTCAGTTAGAGTATGTAGGCTAGCATATTTTCAAAAATTGTAATAATATATTTTCTAATATGCAAATGCCTAAGTCTGCATCATACTTAGGAAGTTGGCAGTGTATAAACAGGTCATTTGTTCAGAATTTAAATCAGTAAATTTTCTAATATTCGTAGGAAAAATGTTTAGAAAATTTGAGAAATATATATTTAACTGATAAGACAGAAAAACAGTTCTTTTTTATTTTAAAGATGTGGGGTACAATTCAGTATTTGGTATACAAGTGGTCATCATACAAGCAAAGTTTGGGCCTCCCTTTGGTCCCCACTTTGCCTGGTTTGAGATCAGGTATCCTTACTGTTGTTGTTTCTCCCTTCCCTACCCCAGCGGTATCCTGCTACTACCAATCTCTTTCTTATACTATTATGGTAAACATTCAGTGTCCACTTATGAATGAGAACATGTGGTACTCTGTTCTTTGTTTCCGTGACTGATCACTGAGTATGATAGACTCTAAATCCATCCAAGTTGCTGTGAAGTCATATGTGTGTCCTTCTTTATGGCTGCATAATATTCCATTGTGTATGTGTACCACTTTTTTAAATCCACTTCAGTTTCGGTGGGCAGCAAGGTTGATTACATTTTTTGCTATTGAGAATAGTGCTGCAATAAAGATGCATGCACAGGTATCTTTTTTTGTAGAATGATTTGAGTGCCTCCACATATACTCCTAGTAGGGGGATTGCTGGGTCATATGGAAGGTCAATGTCTAGTTTTTTTAGAAATCACCACACTGTATTCCAAAGAGGTTGCACTAGTAGTGTAGAAGCATTCCTTTTTCTCCACTTCCTCACCAGCATCTGTTGTCGTTTTATTAATGATGGTCATTCTTACTGGGCTTAGGTGGTATCTCAGTGTGATTTTGATTTGCATTTCTCTGATGATCAGTGAGGCTGAGCACTTTTTCATGATAGGAAGAATCAACATTGTTAAGATGTTCATTCTACCAAAGGCAATCTACAGATTCAATGCAATACCCATTAAATTTCAGTATCATTCT